ACCCTCCTCAGGAAGCCTTCCTTGCTTGCTCTAGGCAGATTTTGTTAGGACAACAGCTTAGCGTCTGGAGGAGGAAAGTGCTGGAGTCTATCATGACAGCATGATCTGCACCATGACATCCTCGAGGCTGACGCAGCTGTTCTGTGTAGCTCGGGCACCTGTCCTGAGGGGCATCCTGTGAACAAAGGTATGGGTGGGGGTTGAAGGGCTGTGAGGAGCTGCCATGCTTCCTAAATGTTTGGGATGAGGAGTGGATAAGGGATGACATTGGTGGACAGCAACCACTCACCAAATTGCAACAAATCCACAGTGAGAAAAGCATTCCTTGGCCAGGGAGATAGCTCAGTAGAATAAGTGCTTGTCTGGCAAGCACAAGGGCCTGAGTTCAATCCCTGGTTCCACCAAAAAAAAAACAAAAAACAAAACAAAACCAAAAAAAACAAACAACAAAATAAGTAAATAAATAAAAGCATTCCTTTCTCAGTATCTCCTAGCTCTTCTTATCCCAAGGATGAAGTTCAATGATGCCAGTCAGTAACAAGTAACACCCCTGCTGCTGAGAGGGCTGATCTTGAACTCAGAGCTTTTGCAGAGATCACTACCAGTTAGATTTGATCCAGGTTTGTGTTGTCTTTGTTTCCATTTTGTTTTGGTTGGTTACATTTTATTTTATTTTATTTATTTATTTATTTATTTATTTTTTGGTTACATTTTAATTGTGTCAAGAGTTTCTCATTTTGTGGACAAATGGTGGCAGGGGTTTGAAGCAACAGCACTCTGACAAAACCTTGGGAGCTTTGATGAAGGACACAAGCAGCCATGCATCTTGATAATGAAGGGTGATCAGGGAACTTGGGGGTGATGGAAATGTTCTATGTTTTAGCTGTAGTATGACTGTATACATTGGTCATAATACATTTCCCAGTAAACACTTACAATGGATGCATTTTATTGTATCTCAGTTGCATCTTAAAGTTGGTTTTAAAATGTATTTAAATGTGTTTAAGTGGAAATGGTTGAAGATACCAGGTAAATAATGGTACAGATGCTGTGTGGGTATGGCCAAAGTCCTCAAGTTGACCACCACATGGTGAAGTTTAGAGTCAGTAAATAAATGGACAGACAGGATAATGAGTGAATGAATGAACATATGAACAATGGAATGAATAGCTACCCATTCACCCTGCTTGTGAGAGTCTGTTGAGAGACCTCACCTCTCTCTGGCATGAATCCATTCATTCTACACAGCCCCGGCATCTTGGAGGTTGACCAGATGTTGTTCTATCTCACTCTGCCTAGCTCCTAACATAGGGAACTCATGACTTTGTGACATAGCCCTTCCAGTGTTAAATGCTAGGTGTGCAAGAAAGGCTTATGTTATATTAAGTTGATCTTGCTGGGCCCCTGGCTGCCTGGGGCCTGCAGACACGCCTCTTTCTGAGGACAGCTCAAGTGGCCACCCAGCACAGCATGCTTAGATCCACTGGGTCTGCTCATAGAGTGTACATGCCGGTGGGGTGGCAGCACCCAGTACAAGTGCAGACAAACACAGCGATCACTACTACTTTGAAGGGGAAAAAGTAGGCGAGATGAATGGTGAACCCACCCCACAGAAGAAGTGGAAGGCCAGGTGAAGCTCTCAAAGGAGGTGGTATTTGAACAGAGGCTGAAAGGATGCAAAAGAGCCCAGAGAACTAGAGAAGGGGCATCCTGAGCAGAGGAAGAGTGGGTGCAGAGGCCCCAGGTTAGAAAGTAAGTGTGCAGACAGGTTGGCTGGAGGGGAGTGAACTGGGAGGGGGCAGCCATCTCAGGCATTGATGGTGAAGAGGCTGAAATTATTGTCTCAATTTGATTCTCAAACACTTTTAAGGAGAAAGTGGTAGGATATGGTGGAAATTTTAGTCAATGATACATATTTACTGAGTTAAAACAGAAGGCCCTTCTAGTTCCAGTATTTTGGTGCTTCCCAAAATGATGCTGACATCCCCTCAAGGGAGAGGACTCCACAGAAGGCCCTCCTGACTCCTGCTCTGCCTTCACCCTGCTTGTGAGAGTCTGTTGAGGGACCTCACCTCTCTGAGCCTTACCTGCAGGTGGAGGTAATAATCACAGGCACCTCCCCTCTGGGGCCTCGGTTCTGTCTCTGGGGATGGCTTTTCTCTCTGTCTACCTGATGCCCTGAACCTCTCCCTCGGAAGGAACCCTCAATGACAGGTGTCTCGGGGACAGGCCCACACTAGCCAGGGACCTGCTCCTGGCCCCCAAGTCCTACTCTGTGAAGAAGTGAGGCAGCCTATGAGACTTCTGTGCTTGTCTTTATTTTACAGACAGGGAAACTAAGGCTGTGAGCTTTGAATTTGCCCTAAGGACATCTGGAACCTTGGTCCCGCCTCCTGCCAGGCTGCCCTGAGGATTATCCCGCTGGGTGAAATAAGGCCTTTCAGGAGCACCGAGGTTTGTCCCGCACCTCATAGGTGTCCATTAAATGCTGGCCACTGCTGTGCGCCCGGATTTACTTACCAAGATCTCACCCTTGCTAGGTGGCACAAAGCCAAAGCCAGGTCTGTGCATCTAGGGCTCCAGTCCCACAGCCACAAAGGCCCCTACCGCAGCAATGACAGGGTGGCAGCATGGGTGGCAGCAGGACGAGGTGATCCTGTGCCTGCAACCTGGGCGGGGACAGGTAGGCCGGGCCTGGAAGGCATTACACGGCTGTCGGCCGGCGCGGCGGGTTCCGGAGGGGTCCCGGACGGCCTGCCACAAAGCGCGCTTTGTTCTGCGCGGCCGGAGCTGGAACCAATGGATTGGCGGCAGCCAGGGTCATCTGTCAGGCGGCGCGGGGTCAGGCGGGTAAGGGGCGCGGGCAGGAGCCGGCTGGGGCGCCACAGGGGGCGCTACGCAGCTTCCGGCCTCAGTTTACCCGGCTATCCAAAGGGGAAGATGAGGCATGTCCGGTCTGCCTCTGGAACTCCTGAGACTTCAGCACGGAAGCCAAGCTGCGGATGAAGACGACCTTCCCTAAGAGCAGGCCTGGCCTGGGCACCGCTGCACCTGAAGCACCGTCGTTGTCCGAGGCCAGGGGTGTCTCACGGCACCCACCTACTCTCACACAGTCACGACCCCCCCTTTGCTGTGATCTGGATGCCAGGCGCTGCCCCCGTCCGTCTGGTACTGGCAGATGGAGCTGCCCAGCTGAGCGCAGGGTCACCCTTGGTGCCCTCTGGTCTTCAGCAGGCAGGGCTGGGCCACCCAGAGGTGTTCTAATGTTCGGACTTTGGTCAGAGTCCTACTTCTCTCCCCACAAAATCAGAACCCATTCATTCACACGCCCCAGCTGCGTGTGCCTCAGCATCACCTCCTGGGAGAATTAGACTTCTGAGCATTTTATACAGGGACCCCTAGGGGAGACTGTTAAGTACCGCGAGCCAGCGAAATTACCCAAAGTATATTTGTTTCTGGGGGAAGGGCTCACAGCTTTCTTTGCTGTTAAGGAACACTGTGGGGTGCAAGGGTGGGAGGGGCCTCCACTCCGCAGGAGCAGCACTTCCAGCCGCACGCTCTGGAGGGCAACCCACAGTCCCAAGAAGTGGAGGCGGCTGTCCGCCAGAGTGCGGGCCAGAGAGCGGAGTCGTGGCCACTGCGATCCTCAGAGCCACTTCCAGGAGCTGGCTAGAAATGGCTACAGCCCAGCGGAAAAAGTGTTTTTCACACACTAAGGAAAAAGAAAGCCTGGTGACCGCGAAGGTGTGCAGGCAACAGCTATTATTTATGCAGTCGTTGCTGTGTATTAGGCAGCACTCAGCCCAGGCACAGTGACAAGTGGCACAGGTCGAGCGTCTGCCTCACAGACATATTCTAATCCGTGAGGCAGACACAGACACAGAAAATAATTTAGAGAGTGGAAACAAACAAACAAACAAACAAAAAACAAAAAAAACGAACAAACAAAAAAACCTCAACGACAAACCACAGAAAAGGGGACTGCCAATGAGGGGACAGCCCTCTGACCAGAGATCAGAATTCATGGACTTGCGCCGAGATGGCGGAAGAGAATGCTGCACAAGTAACCTGAAGCGGCAGCATTTTGCTGGGCATGGGGTGCATGCCTGTGAGTCCAGCCTTCCCGGAGGCTGAGGCCTGAGAAGCCCAAGCGTGAGCCCAGCCTCGTGTCAAAAAAGAAAAGAAAAGGATCTGGAGACATATAGCTCAGTATGTAGAGGCCTCAGGTTCATTCATCAAACAAACAAAAACAAAACAAGAACAAAAAAAGTGTCGTCGTCCCCCCCCCCGTCAGACTGCTATCTGCAAGGGCATGTGCCAAAATCATGAAAGTGATTGCACCAAAAGAACCAAGGGACGATAAGGACCATGACCTATGGTGGGCTTCAACTTGCCTTTAGTATTTTAATTTTTAAATATCGATTTAATATTTTAGTAGCTCAATGCTTATGTTTAAAGAGTCTAAATATACTCATGTATAATTGTGAGATTAAAACTAAATGTAAATCTGCCGTAGCAAAAGGGGCTAGTTCACAGGGCTGCATGGGGCTTCCCCGACCCACAGTCTGGGCCGAGGTCTGTTGGGGACGGGAACATATGGAACCCACGGGGCACAAAGCCCTCGGGGCCTAGAATCTGTTTGGAACCGGTGACTTCTTCGCCAAGGGGCCCCCTTCCTCGAGGCAGGGAAGGGGCCTGGGGCGGCCACGATGTGTGCCGGTCCACCGAGCAACAGCATGTGGGACAAGCGGACCTGGCACTCCAGGCTGCCCGCCGGGGCTCCTTCCCAGGCTTGCTCTGCGAGCAATGGTCGTCCTCGCTCCCGCAACCAAGGCTTTCTATTCAGTTCTTTCTCACAGCAGCTTCTGCAGCTCTGGACTCAGCCCTGCTCTTGGGGGTAGGAAAGCAGCGCCACCTGGTGGTGAGAAGGGAAACACAGTTCAGGGCTCCCCCCCCCCCCCCCCGGGAGGGGCCCCTTCCAAGACCAGCTTCTCTTCCCTCAAGACCTCTTTCACCACCCAGTCTGTTGGACCCTCTCTCCCAGTGCCTGCCTTTTGGGTCTTTCGGAAAGGAGGAAAAGCCCTTAAATCTGGTGCGACCAACCTCACTTACCCCAGGCCCAGTGCAGGAGAGCTCATGAGGCCGGAGCATCTTGCCGCAGTATTTTACAAAGCACTGCCCTCGTTCTTCCCTGACCTCTACAAACTTCCAGGTAGACAGTTCACCTTCACAGTCCTCCAGGGGAGGGAAGCCCTGCTCGATGTCACCCAGCAGGTGCGCCCACAGGTCAGCCCCAGGGTCCTGACAGTGATGGGAGGTGTCACACAAAATAAGTGATGCAGAATAAATGAGCAGTTCTGGGTTGTGGTCCCTGAACAGCCCTCGGTATAACCAGAGAGCACATTAGAAACACATTCCTAGGCCCTTCCTAGCTCTGCTGAGTGAAGTCTGAGGCTGGAGTCTAGCAAGACAGCCAGAGAGTCTGAACCATTTGTCTGAAGCAGCTGCACTTGCGTTTTATTTTTATTTTTTAATTAAATGTCTTTATTTTGGAATGGCTTTAGATGCACAGAAAATTTGCAGACAGTACAAAGGGTTCCCATCCACTCTCCACCTGGCCCCTTCCCTCTCCCATAGGTCACAAACCACCTTTAGTAAAAGCCAACAGACCAACATCAGTACAAAATTTACTAAAATCCAGATCAGTTATCCTATGGTCTGATCTCCTCTCCCACACCCAATGCAAGGTATCACTTAGCACTTACAGTCACTGCACTATATCTCATTTCAGTCTTATTCCCAATGGGTAGAAAAGCTATTGTCCTTATTCCCAAGGGGAGTAAGACCAGGTCTACCTTTTCCTGCAGCTTTCAAGGCTCTTGTGCTCCACAAGTCCCTCTGGAACATCTGCCTGCCACCCTATCACACCAGTGTGGACAATGATGCCCCTGCTGCCCCCCTCATATACTTCTCCTTAGATCCAAGGACTGTGTCTCAGGGACTCAGACTGCGCAGGATGGTGTGACCCTGGGGTTTACCCAGACTTTCTCATGAAGGACACACAGCAAGTCTGAGTGTCAACTCTGCCCCAAGTTCTCTGCACTTCCTCCTGTCTAGAGGTGCAATCTGATTTGCACCCCTTGAATCTGGGCAAACTCTTACAATTTTCCCTGATTAAAATAATTCAGAAGTGAGATCATAGAGGTACCACATGGAAGAGAACCACACCACCTGGCCAACAGCTTGGCACCTGCCAGACAAGCATGTGACACTGCGCTAATCCATTTCAACTGACGTGATAGATGCCTGTGGCCTCTTGGTGACCTCAGGCAAGGGCAGCAGAGTATCCCAGATCAGCCCAGCCCATATTGTCAACCCAGAAACTATGGGCAGGGCAGAAACTTCTAGTTGTTGAGTTTGGGTGTGGTTACACAGTAACACTGATACATAGTTCTTTCCTGATGAGAAAAGTTTCTTTCCAGAGTCAGAGGGCCAGTCCCGGGAAAGGGAACATGACTGGTGTGCTCAGCTGTGGAATTTGTTCCCTGCTAAATTGGCTTTTTTCAAAGCTAGGGCAATGGTAGCTAGCTCTGGCCAAGAAGACATAAGTGGAAATATACAGGACAGAGTGGGACAGGTTACATTTTCTGATGGAAGCTGACATGTCCAGTGTGTTGGCCTTTCCTCTTCTCTCACTCCTTTCTTCCTTGGACTCATACATTATTCCTGGAGATACTGCAGCCATCTTGGACCATAAGGTAACAAGCAACAGGGACGAAAGGATTTCAGACATAAATCCTATCTCTGTTGAGTTACTGTAGTAATAGCATGTTGGCTATTTGTCTCCAGAACTCAGCCTTTCTTTGTTCAAGTCCCTGTCACCTAGGCCTGTGTTTATTTGCAGCTGAGTAGTCCACTTAATAGGACAGCATAAAGATAATCTCCACATCACCTCCTTGCTCAGGGATGAGGCCCCTGACCCCACTCTTACAGCGGCTCCCATGTTACTTAGCATGAGTTCCAGGCCTGGCAGCTAGTAAAAAGGTGCCAAGGGTCAGACCCCACCCCATGTGCAGAGGGGTGCCCCTGCTGGCCCTTCTGTGTGGCCCGCCTGCTGGGGTCCAGATGTCTCTTCCTGGATGCGGCAGCAGCAGGTGCCAAGGAAGCTGCTACTGCAGATCTGGTGTGGACGCGCCTAGGTACACTCGGAGGTCAGATAAGGTGGACTGCACCAGCTTGGCAGGGATGGTCTCACGCTGAAGCTGTTGATAGGCTGCGTAGCGGTGGCAGCCCCCGAAAGAGTAGTAGTAGTCACCACCCTGGGCCCCTTTGATCCAGAGGACGTCGATAGGTGGCACACTGTCCGGGTTCTCCTGGAGAGAGGGAAGAGGTGTCATGTGAGTGTGCACAGTTGTTAAATGTCCAGGAATCCTGTGGGCTGGCTGACGTCACTTGGGCTGGCTGACGTCACTTTGGCTGCCTGAATCTCAGCATGAGAGATTTATAGCTGGGTAAGGGGCAGATCCACAAGCAAGGATCTTCTCTGCCCAGAGGCAGTCTGTGAAACACACATCCATGCACCCTGACCTGGCCCAGCCTCTGTCTCCCTGGGCTGTGCGGCTCAGCAGGGTGGATGAGATGTAAATGCAGAGTGACAAGTGCTCTGAAGACAGTCACCCAAGTGACATGGGCAGGGTCCCAGGGTTCTCTGAGGTGACAAGGAAGCCTCTGCTTCCACGTGGGGGAGCTAGAGATATGGTACAGCTTCAGGGCCTGGCTACCTGGGTACAAATCTCATTGTGTCACTCACTAGCTATGTGACCTTGTGCAGTTAACCTCAGTTACCCCATTTATCAAAGGGGGATGAAGACAATATAACCACATCATAGGGCCCCCTGGGATAACAGAGTTGATACACATGAAGCACTTCCAGCAATGCTTGGTACAGGGGACGCTACCAGCAATGTCGCCTATATTACGCAGGGGAAGAGCCTCCAGGCAGAGGGAACAGCCAGTGCAAAGGCCCTGAGGGAAGCATGTCCCACAGAGCTGGAGGGACAAGGAGGAGGCCAGTGAGACAGCGGAACTTGGGGGTGGAGGAGCAGGAGAGGACAGAAAGGTCACAGGAGCCTGATTCAGCATCCAGCAGTTGGCACAGTTGAGTGCCATTCATGAAATGCGCCAGGAGAACAGTGTGCAGGTGCAGGGTAGATATGGGCAGGAGCCAGGCCTCTACATGTCTGCAGAAGATGCAGCCTGCATGCTGGTATGTCAGGACAGAGAGGGGCACACAGGTTGGCACATGTTTAGCAGGCAGATCAGAGGGCTCTGGTGGAAGGGGGAATTTTAGGTCACTTCCTAGCAGAGCTCTAGCAGCCAGGTGGAGGAGAGCCGTCCTCTCTGTAGGGAAAGGCTGGGCAAGGTGGTGAGAACTTACAAGTGTGCTATGCCTAGAACGTGGCAGTGGCAGGCCTAGAAGGCCGCCTGTCCAGGGTCTTGGGGAAAGCTGCTCTGATAGGTACATTAACCCAGATGTTACACAGCTGGTTATTCAGCAGTCAGGCCCAGCAGTCACCAGCCAGGGCTCTGGAACCTAGCAAACCAGGGGAGGGGGCTCTGTGCACCAGTTAGCCTCTCCATACAGCTGCTCATCCACCAAATGGGAGCTAGACCTTCCACAGGAGAGTGGAAGGGTGGTCAGTAAGCTGGAAGGCTTGTGTGGCCTGGGGTGAACAGCAGGATGGGGGGCAGTAACGGCTCCCAAAGATGTCTGTGTCCTGATCCTTAGAGGTCGTGTCACCCTACACAGCAAGGGTTCTGCAGGTGGATCCTGAAGCAGGGAGACTGAATGCTATCCCCAGGGCCCTTACAAGCAGAACGGGGGGTGGGGAGGGGGGAGAGGTCAGAGCTCGTAAGCTGAGAAGGATTCAAGATGTGGCTGTTGGTCTGAGTTAAGAACCAGGCCATGAGCAAGGAGGTTGGTATGGGGCCCTGGGAAAGGCTGGGACACTGTCTCTTAGGACCTCCAGAAAAGTGTGGCCCTGCTGACCCCCTTTTAGTCCAGTAAGGTCCACTTCTGCCCCACAGACCATACAATAATACATTTGTGCTGTTTGAAGCCAGGAAGTCTTTTTTTTTTTTTTTTTCTTGTTTTGCTTTTTGAGACAGGGTCTCACTAGTTAAGGCTCCCCTTGAACTCATTATGTAGCTCAGGCTGGCCTAGAACTCAGCGCTCTTCCTGAGTGCTGGGTTTGAAGGTATGCGTCACCATGCTTGGCTTGAAGCCATGAAGTTTGCGGCCACACATATGGCTCCAGATGGCAAGGCAGATCTGGTCCTTGCCGCTCAGATCCTATGGTTCCAGCATGGGAGACAGGTGCCTACAAAGGCCATCAGAGCCCAGTGGGGTGACAGCTATGCTGTTGGGTACACGGGTGGCTCACTGGAGGCCCCTTACCTGCTAGGGTGAGCAGGAGAGGCTGATCCTGACAAAGACCAAGAGGGAGTTAGACACCACAGACAGACCACAGAGAGACCCGTCTCCTGGCCAGGGGTAGAGGGGTCTGTGCAGAGGCCCAGTGGCAGAGCACACATGGGGCTAGATGGTCCTCCCACAGAGAGCAGCGCAAGACGGCCAGAACCCTGCTCAAGTGGGGCCTACCAGACACAGACGCTACAGGGGTGAGACAAACAAGTAAATGCAGGAAGGCTGTAAGTGCTACCTAGAAGAGTCCCTGGCCTGGGCTGAGGGGAACTCTAGGCTAGGGCTCCAGCACCAAGGGTCAGGGCTCTGGCTACCTGGGGAGGTGGTGACAGGAGATGGGGACACTGTAACCTCTAGGGCCAAAAGACACCAGCTGGCTGCACAGGTGCTGGGTGAGGCTTAGCCCTCTCTCACACTCACTCACCAAGGGTCAGGGAGAAGGGGACAGGAAGCACGTAGGCCTTCACTGACACATACTCCTTGTATCCTTTACCTCGGGTTCCTGCCAGGGTCACTTGGTCATTCTTCAGCACCCTCCCTCTGTGACTGGGCTGACCCTGGTTCTCTCCCATTTCCGGTTCAGCAAGGCCCTCCCAGCAGACAGGACATTCAGGTTCCTGCTCCTGATGGTCACAGACCACACTACTCATCTCTGGATGGTATGGTGGCCATGCTACCGGGCACTGGGGTCGCGTGTGTGCGTGACCTTGAGCAATGTGCCTAAATCTTCCTGTGCCTCTGCTTCTTGCCTGTAAGAGGAGTAGCATGCGCCTCACTGGGCAGCGCAAGAAGCTAAGGGACCTAAACAGGCCCGGGCCACGGTAGTAGTTTAGTAATCCTTACTTTAATTTTCTAGGCCTATTCCTTCCTTGCTCAAGAGAGGGCCCCGGCCCAGAGAGGCCACACATTTGCTCCAGGTCCCACAGCCCAAGCTGCCTCCCTGAAGCCCGGAACTGTTCGTTGGGCGTCCCGCGTCTCCCTCCAGAAACCTCCCTCCGGTCGGCGCAGCCCCGGGCCTCACCCTGATTGCATCCACCAGGCTCTGCACCTTGGCCGGGTCCAGCACCGACGGCAGTGGTCGGATGAGCACGCTCATTGGCACATTGTGTACCGCGGCGATGCAGCCCGAGTGGATGCTGCCACCCTGCGCGCTGCTGCTCGCCCCGGGCCCCTCGGGCGCCCCCCGGCCCGCGCGGCCCAACGCCCCGCCAGCTCGCAGCCCCATCTAGTAGCTGCGGCCCCCAGCCGCGTCCTCAGCTTTACCCCGCCGGGCCGTACCATTCTGCAAGGCCGCCGGGGGCGCACACCACGCGCGTTCTCTGCGCCGCCTTGGTGCAGCCCGGGCCGCGGAATCCGCTGGGAGGCGCCCGCCGCGCTGCCTCTCCTCTTTGCGCTTGGGGAGTGGACGCGCCCGGCCTGACTCTGGGTGAGCGTGCAGGGCGCCGCCTGGCGCGGTGAATCAGCCTGAGGGCCGGCGGGGCGGGGCGGCCGGACTTGCAGAGCTAGGATGAGTTGGCGAAAGCCGCGGCGTCGCCGCCGCAGCTCCCAGGTACGACCGCAGGGAACACGGCACGGATGGCAGTGACCTGACCGTAGCGACCTGGTGCGGGCTGCACAGGTCCTTCCAAACAACCCTGCAGGGAGGCAGGTTTATTAGTCCCATTTTGCAGAGGAGGAAACCGAGGCAGAGAGAAGTTTATGCGACTTACCCAGGATCATGGAGCTAGAAAGTGGCTGAGCCAGTATTTCAATTCGGCTTGGCTCGGGATTCCACTCTAAATGCCACTTGCCCAACTCATGGTGCTGGCCCCCTCGGTTCAGCAGCCAGTACTTGTGTCACAGAGTGCTGACTGTGTGGGACTGCTCTGAGGTCACACACCACTGGGAAGCAGGTTCTATTCCTAAACCCCCGGGCTGAAGAAAAGTCAGTCAAAGGTGAAGATCAGTCTCTCTCCGTGCAGAGCTCCTGCACCACTGAGTCCCTGCAGCTAGGCAGGAAGGGGACAGCGACTGGATCTGGTTTTGGTTGTCTTCCCTCTCCTTGCAGGGTCAGCCTGGAATGCCAGAGGCAGCTAGGTCGGACAGGTTCAAGGCCAGAGGTCCACTCTCTGCTGCCCATCTGTGAGATGAAGTAACTGCTGATGCCCGAGTGTCCATGTGAACGTCTGGTATGCAGGGCTTCCCGTCTTGTTTTAGAAGGCCAAACATCAGGACGCTGATGTCTTTGAGGATTTGACTTTGACCTTTTTTCATTTCCCTAACAATCCCTGTGAGCAATTCCTTTGTTTCCGAAAGACCACAATTCCTTTGTTTCAGAAAGACCACACACTCAATTGAGTTTCAAACTCATATTGAGTTTGAAAATTTTATCAAGAGGGAAACTGTCCCTTCTGGAATCACTTAGTCGAGGCAGATGGGACGCGGCTCTGGACTGGGAAAATGAAACCTGACTTCTTTCATATAAGCCTTACCCAATGAGGCCCCACCCGTGGTGTCAGTCACTTGCGTTGATACCTATGGCCCCACTCACACTGAGGAGGTAGGTATATCGAAGGTTATTAAAGAGGCCATGGAATAAAAGCCATCAAAGACCCAGGTTCTGCCCATGTTCCGCTGCTGTCATCCTCAGACCTGCTTCTCGTGCCAGTGGGGCTGCTATCACCTGAAGCACCACATCACTACATAACCACATTCACAAGAAGTTAGGACAACCCTCTGTGTTTCTTTTTTTTAAGAGTGAAGACTTCTTTCATTCGTTTCCCCCAACCCTTCCCCTACCAGGAACAAAAGTTTTATCACATCCATGCCTAAACCAATCCTGACAAAAGGATTAGGATTATCATTGTCCGCTTGGCTTGATCGGTGCTCACCTTTGGACCCAGGAGGGTTTTCCTCCCTGGAGGGTGTGGGCCTGGACCCTGAGCTCTGCACAGGACTGAAGTTGCAGCAACCTCTGCCACTCGGGACTGTGGTTGCAGGCTGTCCTGTCCCGGTCCAGGTGTGGCCAATAAGCAGTCTCACTGTTAGTGCAGCTCCCCCCCGCCGAAACTGAGACCAGATCCCTTGGGTTGGGATGAGGTCAGCTGCTTCCTCAGGCCTCTTGCGTTTGTACAGCTGGAACCAGAAGCCAAAGTAACTCTGGATGCTTTCCTTCTAGTGTGGATTCTCTGAAGCCACCCCCAGGCAGGACTGGGTGCAGGTAGTTTACTTGGGTGTTTTAGCTAAGTGCTGCAGATGAAGTCACTCCAGAGTGAGGGGCGTCAAGCAGCCATTTCACTGTGCTTGCAGGCTCTGTGGGTCAGCAACGCGGGCATCACAGTGAGCTTGCTGGTCTCCTCCAGTGTCTGGGGCATTAGCTGTGGGGTAACTTGCTGGCTGGGGCTGGAGTCATCCACAGGAGTCTTTCCACATCAGGTGGATGCTCCTGCCTGTGGCCTGGAGCCTCACTTTGGGTCAGCAGCTAGGACAGCTGCACACAGTCTCTCCCAGGGACTTGTAGCGTAGCTGTGGGTTTCTAAGGACAGGTGTCCTGAGAGCACTTAGTAGACACTTCCCAGTCTCTTCCCAGCCAAGCTTAGAGGTCGTATAGCATCTTTTGTACAACATCCTATTTTGGGGAGCTGCCACAGCCCTCCAAGGGAGGGGACATACAATAGGTGCCATCTCCGGTGGGAGGGGCAGGAAGGCTCTGAGTACATTGGGTGGAAGATGCTGTTGTGACCATCCAGTCATCTACTGTATGAGGTGACCCCGGGAAGTGCTGGGAAGGGGACCTTGCCACCAAGGCCTGAGGCTGAGGTTGACTTGGTGGGCAGGTTGGGCTCATTCCTGTAGGCATCACACTAAAGAATCATCATGCACCCCTATTTGTCCCTCTGCGGGACAGGGCTTGGGTGTTTAGTCACTGATTCCTTCCCCTCACTGGTTGGCTATGGCAGTAGGCTAGCTATAGGCTGTGACAGCCAGGAATGCTGTGTGTTTTGTTCTGGAGCTCAGTGGCCAGGTGGCCCAGATTTTGCAAGATGTGTGACCTTAAGATGTCACTGCACTGAGGGATCATTTTGGGGTGAGACCTAAGAAATGATTATAAACATATGACACATTGATGTCTTCATCTCTTTGTTAACTGGCAAGGCAGACTACTTTGGTAGACTAATGTCTAACCACCTGCCTAATACCCTCTGTCTTCCTGATTTCCTTTCCATTTTTTCTCACTCCCCTCAATGGACCCCTAAATTCCCATTTTTAATTCATTCTGAAAGTTTGTTTCTCTCTTTTGCATCTTCGCTGCCTGCTGAGCCACTCCCTCCTTGGGTCTCAGGCGACTTTGCACTTCTGCTGCTTCTCCTCATGGGCACAAGATGACTGCCAGTGCCAACCAGGTCAGCCTTCCTCTTTGCTCGCATCAGGGAAAAGAGAGGATCTGTGCTTTGCACCGATGACCTTAAAGTCTTTCTCCTCTTGGTCTGATTGGGCTGGCTTGAGTCATAATGAGACACAGGATGACTAATATTCCCCAGGGATATGGCCTGCGTTCAGTCTCATACGTGTGGGTGTTAGAACTGTCACTCACTGTAGTGACCTGAGGGGCCTGACCAGCCATGCTCTGGAGGTCTACCTCCTCCATGCCACCTGGCTGTGTCTTAAGTGGTGACAGATATCTGAGCGACTGTAGTTTGCTGGTGAGGGCTGGAGGTCTGGCTGTCGGTGTCTCTCCCCTGGGCTGTTTGGGTGTCTGCTGTGACTATTGTGTAAGGAAGCTTGTGTGACTCCCTGGCTCAGCCAGCTTGTGGCTGAGCTTCTTGTGTCTTTTCCACATGCCCCTGTGGAAGCCCTGCCCATACTCAGGCTCAGGGTGGAGGTGCTGGAATATTCACCCTGGGAACAGGAACTGGTCCCTGCATCCCTCTTCTGTCAGAAGGACAGAGAACCATCTGCAGAGCTGTAGAGACATTTGGAGCATTCTGGAGCCTTCTCAGAGACTGTAGTTGCTAACAGATCACTGCACTAATACACCCCTGCCCCACTCCCTGCCTCACTCGCCCCCCCTTCCTGGGGGCACCCTGCCCCTACACAAACAATCCACACCCAAGTCTCAGGCTTTGCTCAGATAAAGGGAAATGGGAATCTGGGTCATCTCTTGCTATGGTTTGGACCTGAAATACCCCTGGAAGTCTCATGCACTCGTATTGGTGGGGCTTTCACATGTTGGATCACGCAGGCACTGGCCTCACTAGAGCATCAAGTCCTCCTGGATTTATAGCTGAGCGGGCAGTTAGCTATAGGGGTGCTCCTGGAGTGTCCTGTCACTGGCTCCTTTCTCTCTTACTGGCTCATTCTCACCCTTTGGGCTTCTGACTGTGGCGGGTTGAGAAACTTTCCTCCATCAAGCCCTTCCACATGGTTAGCCTTGGGCCCAGCTTACCATTGACTGAAACCCTAAAGCCATGAGCCACATAAACCTTGCTTTTTTAATCTGTGTGTTGAGTATTTCATTCCAAGAGTGGGAAGCTGACTGTTGCAGCTATATTTCTGCACCTCATCTGTGTTTAAATTACATGCACATGACGTGTGTGATCTTGGACAGGCCACCTGTATGTGCCTCAGTTCCCTAATCTGCAAAATGGGCATAACAGCATCTCATGATTTATAGGGCTATTGGGAGACTGTAAAGAGATAATGTTACAAGATAAAGTAAATAAAGTCTTTTATTTATTTTTATTTTTTATTTTTGGCAGAACCGGGGATTGAACTCCTTTCACTTGCCAAGGAAGCACTTATTCTACTGAGCCATCTCCCCAGCCCCTATGAAGTCTTAAAATAGGGCAGACCTTGTATGTGCTGTATAAACATTTGTTGTTTGATTATTATTGTTATTATTATTTAGGGAAGGGTCTACAGGGTGTTCAGGGTCTCACTATTAGATTGCACTTGTAGTGATCCACCTGTTTACAGCCTCCCAAGCACTGGAATTACAGGCACATGCCACCACACCAAGTCTCAATCGCCGCTCGCCGTGGGGGCTGGGCGCGGCATGACAGACCAGGGGATGGAACCTCCAGCCCCTAGCGCCTGCTTGCAGGCACTTTAATCTGCAAAGCTATTTGGCCAGCCCAAAAAGAGCCTTTTTTTTTTTTTTTTTTTTTTTTTGGGGTGGTACCAAGGATCAAACTCAGGACCTTGCATTTGCCAGGCAAGCACTTATTCCACTGAGCTATCTTCCCCAGCTTGATTACTTTTTAAGTTAATAACAAAGC